TTGAACTGCTGATACCGTGTAAGAGTCCCCATCATAAGTAAGTCTCTGAATGGAGAAAACCTGTAAGTTTTTAATGAATATTAGCAAACATTGATCCAAGGTCTTCCACAAAGATTATGCTCTTATATGGATATAATGATTGTTATTATTACATTATTTTTGGCCTTTCATCAATTGTGTCGATTCAAAAATGCAAAAATTATATCATTTTCAATGGTTCGACCTTCTCTGACTGCAATGGTTCGCGTAAGTAAGAAAGAAAGTTTGCAAATAATTTCATTTACATAAGAGTTGCGAAATATCAAACTTCTATGCCGGGCGCTGGGCTATTCATTAATGAAATGCCAAGATTTTACATAACATTTCTTTAGAGCGTAATAATTTATAACTAGATCATTATACTATACTATATTATACTATATTATGCTATCAATAATTTGCATATCAACAATTCCTTCCTATTTATACTCATCATTAAATTCGTGTTTGGCATTTTCTGTATAATAATTAATTAAATTCTCTTGTTTAACAAAAAATGAAAGTAATTTTTTATATTTCTTTTTTTTTTTGTATTGGTTTGTTTTTTATTTATTATATTTAAGTTTTATTTTTTATTTTTCGGTTTTTAAATGCCAATACATACATGCCAAGGCAGTCGAAATGTTTATGCACAATTTAATGGTTTAGTTAAGGCCTCACGCAAACTCCAAGTTCCTTATTACGATTAATTTAAATAACTTCAAACATTTTCAAAATGTCTTATTAAAGTTTTTTCGGGCGTTCATTTAAAAAAAAATTTTTGCTTGCTTGATATGAAAAATTAGCTTCCGTTTGTTGTTTAAAGAGCAGCTTAGCAGTCTATACCTAACGTTATCTTAACTCGTTACCAAAAATTTTAAAAACGATTTTACGATATTCAAGCGATTCCCGATTCTCTTGCTATTTTTCGACTAAATCAACTCTAGTCGAAATTCGAAATCTTATGAAAATTATATATAAATGATTTGTCGCTGCACTAAACGATTTCTATGTTATTATAATAATAGTAAACAGAGAAGGGATTTTTTAGTCTGTCAAAAAAGTTATCTTATCGGGGGCTACACAAAAATAATGGGAAGGGAATGGGTGATCTCTACAAACATTAAAAATACGGGCTGACGAATGCGTAAGTAACGCTCCTAGAGGAACAAATTTGAACTAAACAAAAGAATATATAAGAAGTCCGCATTAGTGCTCACCAGTTCAACGTCAAACAGTAGAGCTTGCTTTAGTCAAAGCCAGAATGACTGCTCCGTCGGTGAAGGCAGAGCACTTACCGAGTAGATTGTGGCTACCCAACTTTACCTTTTTCTCTTACCTCACTTATTTCCGGCCGTCGCCATGTTACACCAATAGGAGGTATCGTCTAAATGATTGGTCATTTAAAAGAAAAAGCAAAGAAGAAACGGAAGCAAAGTGAAAATATGGCTTCGTTTACTGGACTTGTCGATGAGTCTTGGATCTATTGCAAGCCACCACTGACTCGAAATGTAGTTTCTGGTTCGCGGTTTCCCGTTCAGCCCCTCTCGGAAGTCAAACATATCAAAATAGTATTCAAAAGGATTATGGCCACCGTGCTCTGCTACACAGATGACATACTGAACACGTGTTATATAAAATACAACTGTTCGATCCCCAGATACGAATTTTTCATTCAATCTGTACATTTATGCACACTTATAAAGTATAGTAGACAATTTACGGGACAAGTAATCTTGAATTTTTTCTACGAATTTCGCAGCTCGCAGTTGGCCACAAATGTCGCTTTGAACAAAAGTTTGTTTGAAAGATAAGCTTATCTGCAGATCAATGTATGGTCAAAAAATATCAAATTAAATGCTATCAGCTCAACTACAAAACCTATGAATATTCTGAGCATTCTCTCTTAGCAGCCAAGCAAGGTATCCAAGTTTACTACGTTTCACACGAATCGTAACGTAATTAAACGTAATTATCAATATATTTTATTATCTCACAACTCTTTTAAAATGCATTTATTCTACCTGCACGTGTTTGCGATTTCAATTGAACATCATTATCGCACGCTTTTTTTAGGAATTTATGGTAATAGTAAAATTGAGCAATCGAGATCTTACTAATTTAAAGTTGCTTAGAAGTTAATTATTGATAAAGACACAGATGAAGGGAATACTGATTGATATTTAATATATTTTTCCAGCATCTCTTTGCACGCCCAGCGCCAAAGAATGAGGGGTACATTCATTTCGTCCAAGCGTTACAAACACCTAGAAGGCAGCCTCAGAGATCCTATAAAGTATATACATATCTGATTATATCTTTTGAATACCTGAATGTACAAAAATGGAAAAAATTGATCACGCCTATGCAGCATTGTAATACGTCGAAATAAGCTTGAAAAACCCTATAAATTCTTGACCAGTGGTGGTTCGTCGGTCCAGCTATGTTATATGGAGTGTGAACACCGTCCCGTTTGCAAAAATGAACTTTGGAAAAGAGTCTGAACATGATCCAAATTGGGCAGAGAGTACGCCTATAATGCAATACACATCACCAAAACCTTTGCTCCTTGTATTTATTACTCGTTTATTATAAACTACACGAAGCTGGACGGTGCATATTTTCACGTTTATTCTACAGACACAAAAAAAGTCACGCACACCCACTTCTCGCCCACTCTTATAAAGTATTAAAATTTAGGTTGGCCGCTTTTCTTTTAATTTACTTTAGGATAACGATGAAGGAGTCATAAAACAAGAAATAAGTAAATTTCAAATCAAATTCTTTCACCCAGACAAAGTCTTAAAAGTCAAAGGAAAATATTTATGGTGATGAATATCAATAAGATATTTGATAATACACATGTATGTATTCATTCATCTTCATATAATTATGTACATGGACAACTAATGAAGCAAAGGAAGACCTTCTTCCTAAAACGAATATAGTTTTGTTGGGTTTCTTTTAATTTTGCTGTAAACGAAACGCACGGACAAACCAACCGTTTAGGGTAAAACTTTAACGGTTCTTTATGTGTGATTGTTTGTATTAAACAAAAAAAAGAAAAAAAAAAAAAAATGCCAACCAAAGCGGAAACACATAATATACGATTGCAATATAAGCGTGCACGCACCTGCGTGCTTAAGCGTTCATAAATTTAATCCAAAAATGGTTACAAGAAAATAATTTCGTGTTTTATTAAAAAATAAAAATCAAATTCCTGTCACTGATGAGTGATTTGTCAACAAAAATGATTTTGTTTTTTTTTTATACAAAAATGCAATATTTCGAAAATACTTTCACTTAAAAAGTTAATTCGTTCGCCTGCTGGCGTTTGGTTAGGCAATGACGACGACATTACTGGCAGATATAATAAAAATCAAAATATATAAATAAATGTAGGCTTTAGAGTATGTGAACTGCATTGTAAATTATTAATATGCGTATTATGTTAATAATACTTAATACATTAGTCATCTTCACATTTCGTATTCATTATGACAACATTTGTTATTTTTCATTCGATATTAGGGAAAATTTTCTTTTGATTCTTTCATTTGCAATTTTCCACTTTTAAATGCAACTATTGCCAAGTATAGGTGTATTAGGTTGGCAAAAACGAAAGAAGAGATTAAAAAAATAATAATAATTTGATATCTCGAATTATTTTCTGAAATTTCTTTCCAAGCAAGCTATTAACTATACCCATTTAATTCATATATGATATGAAAGGCTTCTTTTCTTAAACGCGTGCCGTATTCGTTTACTTTTTTTAGGTTATGTCGCGATGTTATCTTAATTCTTATTTATTCATTTATTTATTTTTTGTAAAAAATATTTCGCGCTTTAACCGAACTAGGAAGGGAGCAAAATTTGTTACATAAATTCGATTCATTTGTGATTACCAGAATTTATTATACTCGTTCGGGTTATTTATAAGAACAATGGAACGTTCGCTGAAAAATTTACAAACAATATGTAAAAGCATTAAGTACACTATTCTATATAAATATTTCACAATAGGGTATATACGGAAAGTATCTTGAAAAATGGTCCAATTTCAAGTCATTTTCAACAGCGTTCGTGCTTGGGCCAAAACACGTCGGGGTACCAAATTTCATCAAAATATCCCAAATATTATGACCTGTAGGCTAAACACGGCAAAGCAAGACGAATAGATGAATAGATGATCGATACGAAACGTGATTCTAAATCGATAGATCCAGAAAATGATTTGAATTGGAAACACGTTACAATAAAAGACGTATCTATCTCACGTCCACCTGACTGTTGCATACATTCGCACAAATTTCATATACCCCTGTACTATAAGCGATATAGACTATAATAATGAATCAAATTACACGTTCTTTACAAGCCAAGTGGTGGGCATGTGCATCACATAAGACGCGGTAATCTGACAACACAATTCTCTCGGTTGCATTCAGAGAAAATTCAAGCTAATATTTACATTTTATAAAAATGGCTCCTGATTCAGTTGCATTCGAATAGTCGCGATTAGTTAAAATTATAAGGTTGGCGTAAAAATATTAGTACTGCAGATCTTCAAAGTTGATGTATTTTTTTGTCATTTATTCAATTATTCAATTCACACGTATTTGGATGAAAAGAGAAACATTATCTCTTTTACAATATATCGTATTTGCAAGGTCCTCAATATTGCATTTGAAAGTATACGAATATATGTATATGTCTGCGTGTGTGTTGTGTACGTCAATTACAGTCTGTGGAATTAAATTCAGACCCTATATGCTCCACTTTAATTGCGGTATTTATACATAAAGGATTCCAACAACAAACTGGCAAATGAGAGAAGGAGGAATCTCAAGTTAATTAAAATCATAGAGTTTTATAAAATTTGTTATGCGCTTTTCGATGCAGTAAGAGCGAGAAGGGACGGACCACTCAGATTAAAAAAATCTAAATAAAAATAGAAAGGAAAATGATTTTAATTGACTTACCTTAATATTTGGTTGTTGCAATTGCAAGAACGTGGCTATTCCATTGCGCACACGATTCTTGACACCACGTACCGTACCCTTCGATGAGCGTATAGTCGACGTAGCCGAGCCACAACGTAAATCCTTGTAACCGGCGAAGGCATCATCATGTAAACTACGCGTTTCATAATCGTCCGCATAATTAAACGAATCAGTAGTGTCACCATTCGTAGATCGTGTACCGTAATTACGTAAATTGTCGTGCTCGTTAATATGAAATTTATAATATCTGTCGGCTTCGTATTTGCGTGGCATTGAATTCATTTTTGTATCGACAAATGTACCATTTTCGGGATTCAAGTGAAATGTTTTCGAGGGCAAAGAAGCACGCTTGACCGATGAGCTTAAAAGATCAGTTGCCTTTGAATTGTTTTGAGTTTGATTATTGCAATTACGTGTTTGCACAAAATCATTATGTGCTACCAGATAGTCTTGAGTATTTATCGGTTCATAGATATTATCAGATTTATCTGTCGATGAATTATCATGCACTTCTTCTTCTTCTTCTTCTTCTTCTTCTTCTTCCTCTTCTTCTTCTTCGTCATTTTCAGCTTCATAATCATGATTTTGAAATTTAAGACCCCGTATGTCACGTAACAATGAATCGGGTAGAAAAGAGCCTAAAATTTTATTTTTATTTATGGGCGACGTGGACGATTGTCGTATAAATTCATTGGAATGCAAAGAATCACAACTAAGGGACGATGCTTCACTCTCCTCGCTGTCAGTAAAATTACACGCCGGATGTTTGCTATGATGATTCAAAGATATGGGGGCATTATTTACTCGCATCTTGGCCGCTTTCATGCAATGCATTTCTAAATTGGGCTTAACAGAAGCGGAAACATTGCTTGTCTGCGTATGAGATATAGAGTTTTGTTGTTGGCCATTACTTTCCAAATCACTGCCAGTGCCGCTGTCTAGAGTGTCACAGGGTGAAAATTGTCCACTAGACATCACATAATATAAATAATTCGGATTCGAAACATTTAATTCGGTAACCGTAGTAGATCCAGACGTAGTGGTGATAGCAGATGCCGTGTTATTATTATTCTTATTACTATTATTATTATTATTATTATTATTATTGTTGTTGTTGTTGCTGCTGTTGTTGCTATTATTTGATGTAATTTTATTGTTACTGGAAGTTTGTGTAGCATTCCCAGTTACGCTTACATTACCATTTGAAGGCTTTTGCACCATTTTCTCGTTATTATCATTCACTAACTCAGTATCTATTACGATTTTATTTCTTGCATTCAATTCTGAATTTTCAATTTTCACTACAGATATTTGTTTTTCAGAATTTTGACTTTGTAACAGTTGTTTTTGTTGTTGTTGTTGTTGTTGTTTGGAATTAATTTGAATTTTCACGATATGCGCATTATTTTCACTTTGCACCCAAAAATCTTTACCACATAGTTCACTAATATTCCGTAAAGCCACCGTTGCTGTTGATGTTGAAATGTTGTTTACGGTCAATAGAGTTGTATTTATTGATGATGTGTTACTATCCGCTTTCGTTGTTAGACTGTTAGAGTTTAAAATTTCCAATGAACGTTTGCCGTCAACGTCATTGCTTGCCTGGTGATGATGGTCGTCAACTCTCTTAGTATTCGTTTCAACATTAACATCATTATTATCATCGTTAACAATATTATGAGTTTCTTTATACATCGAGTTTAGTTGAAAATGACCATTTTCTCTACATTCAATACTGTTACCATTGATGAGCTGCTGCTGTTGCTGTTGCTGCTGACTAGTCTGGCCACTTTCTTCTCTAACATTAGAGCAAACTTGTGGTTCGGTTAACTCTTCATTACGCTGCACTATTTGTATGCAAGATGATGGTAAATACGGAAAAGGAGAAGAGAAATAAGAAGACGATGTCTTATCTACTTTTTGTTGTTGTTGTTGGCCACAAACATTACTATCGTTATTATTATTATTATTATGATTATTATATAGTTCATTATGATCTACAACATGACGATGATGATTATAATGATGAAGATTTGTTTCGGTTTTAATATCGTATTCAATATGATCGCCAACAACAATATCATCATCATCATCATCATTATTTTTATTATCATTATTATTATTATGAACGCTACTAGCATCATTATCATCATCATTATCATTATTGATATCATTCGCATTGAAACCAACAAAATTATTGCTTTTGCTATACGATAATGTTGCACAAGTCATTTCGTTACCGTTAGTCAAAAGGTGAGCTTGTGGCTGGTGCTGTTCTGGTAGATTCAATTTTTCATCAGCACTTAATTGAAACAATTGCGGTGCTGCGGTAAGGCTGGCGTTGGCCACTAAAAATTTCTCATCTCCATGCTGATAAACAACAGCGTTACTATAATCATTATTCTGTTGATTTGGTTGCTTAATATCTTTACAGTTAATATCAATTAAGGTTTTGTTGTTATTATTCTTATTATTATTATTATTATTATTATTATTATTATTGTTGTTGTTGTTGTTGGTTAATGGTTGATGCGTTATGAGACTGCTTAAATTACTGATTGATAACGTTTGGACTTTGTTAAGCGCTGAAGTGGCCTGTTGCGATGGTTCTATCTTAATGTTAATGGGTGTCAGAGCATTCTCCATTGGTGTCTGCTGCTGCTGATCAATTCTTATAGAAATTCCAGCATTTAAAGTTGCTTGATTGGTATTTAAACAATTTATAATAGTTCTAGTAGCCATCTTTTCTCTGCCGCAATTTTACATGAAATGTTTTTCGATTGACTTGATTTCTGTTTTGTTGTTTCTCTCTCTTATTTTTTGGCTTGTTTTCTTGTACTTTTTGTTTACATACGTATATACATGTATATACATATATATATGGTTTTTTATGTTTTTTTATACAAATATTTGGTTTCAGTTCTTAACTCGTTGTTTTTGTTGTTGCCTTCGTTTCCTTATTGAGTTTTAATGAATTTATTTTCCTCTTTTTTTTGCGTTTTTTTCTCGTTTTGGATGTTTTTTATATAAAAAAATATTTGGTTTCATTCCTTTCTTGTGCCAGTTATTATTACCGTCTTTTTTTTTTTTTTTGCTTGTTTTTTATTTTCTTGTAACTTAATTCCAAACGGAAGTTGAGACATTTGATTGCATTCTTTATAATTTGGTTTTTTCATATAACCATAATTTTTATTTTTGCATTCTTATTATAAACTTTTAAGATTTTTTTTTTTTTTTTTTTTGTTTTATTGCTATTTTCTCTTCAAGCAACTGTCCATTCATGGAAAACGTCCAGTTATTTTATTTATTTATTTATTTATTATTATTATTATTATTATTACTTCTTTTACTTAATTTAATATTTTTTAATTCCATTTTATGACTTTGGTTGCAATTTTGTGGCTTTTCATGCCGTAGCCTTCTTCTGTTTCGACGTTCTGCAAAAAGTAGAAAATGAAAAGTAAAATTAATTAACACTTTACCAGAAAGTTCAAGAGTTTCCAACAAAACGAGAAAGTTGTGTATAAAATAAAAAAAAATAAACAAACATGAAAAAAAAATGTAGAAATTAGAAAAACAAATCAAATATGCTAGAATCGGTCAAGCCCTGTAAATTAATACACTACACTCGAATCGAAGCTGAGAACCCTATCAGAGTTTTTATTATTTGTTACATGAGATTTATAAGGCATTTTCACATCAACTGTATGTACTTTCGAATAATCGATTAAAAATTAGCCATAAGGCTTAACTTTTTTATTTCGCGATATTTAAGAATCGATTGAAACCATAATATATTGATTAATAAAATTTAAAAAAAAATACATCCTTATTATCGTAATTGTTGTGCTTACCTTATAAGCATTTCAAAGAGACAAATTAGGCCCACTTTTGAAGTCTTATATAAGTTAAAATTACGCTTTCTATAACGTTCTGTAAAATAGTTAACGAAAATACTTAAGTTATGCCGATGAAGCCGATAGTGTACATCCATACATACATATAATCTAAGGGATCCCTAATGCCTCTGCAAGGCATCCAAAAAATAACAAATTTTTTTATATAAATTAAAATTTAGTAATGTTAACGAATTAAGAGAGAACTGAAATAGTGTTCATATGAAAGAGCAACTCGAACAATCTGTCGAACAATCGACATATGTTAAAAATTTTTAATGTGCTTGAGGCGTTTTCACTTAAATCCCTTAAATACATACGTTGCTGATAAGCCTGAATAGACATCAATTGATCATATCTTGCCCATCTCTCTACTGAAGTCATGCTAAAAATTTCAAAAACAAGATGAAAAGTGTTATATAAAAGTTGTTGTACAAAACGTAAGTATTGCAAAATCAACTGGTTAGTGACTTCAAGTTTTGTTTTAAAGCCTTAGGTTCGATCTTATAAAGTCGTCTCATTAATATTTTTGATGTCAAATTGCAAAATCAATCAATTCATCTTAGAGATTCATCCACAAAACACATAGTACAAAAGATATATCAGTTACCAATTATTGTGTCAAATGTGCTGCCAAGTTGCCTAACAATGTATGTTTTTCTATTTGAAATTTTTTTCTTCGCAATTTCATGCTTTTTCTCAAGCGCACTGAAAAGACTAGACGCGTTAAACGTCCCCTTTCTATAGCGTTACAGCCTAACTTCTCTAATGAACTAAAAGTTATCTGCAGAAGGTGTTTATGCCTGCTATGCTTACGTACTATCAAATAAAAGGACGTTGGCGTCGAGCCAACTGCTTAATGGATATGAGGCTAAGAGCAGCCGGTATGTTTCTCCTAACGTCAAAAGTTTTGCTATAAAGATTTTAATATAAGTTATGAACTCGGCTGTTATCTGGTTATTATTATCCGGTTTATCCGTCCTTTGCTTAGTTCGCAACACATAGAGGGAAAAGTATGCGACTCGGCTTTGGCAGCTGCAGCAAAGGAGACACTTTTGAATACAAAATAGTCGAACAAAAAAAAAAAAGGTAGTGAACGCGGAAGACCGTTTTATGCTCCTGGCACTGCGGTTTAACGAAAAAAAAATAACATAAAATTTATTTCATTAAAAAAATACGTCGACAGCAAAATGCCCGCAACATAAGAGTTTTCATCCTTTTACCTTTGTTTAGAATGTTACAGCGGTTGCCCCTCTTAGGCAATATTGGCACATACGATCAACAAGCAGCCATATCTGGAGTGGTTTTTTACGATAACTGCAAAATCCAAAGAACAACTAAGAGAGTCAAAAAGAACAAAGACACTGTGGCAAAGGCGCACTATTAATGTGGAAGCCTTAGGGAAAACGAAGTAAATAATTTTGAAAATGAAATTAAAACACTGTATAAAAACTACGAGCGAAAATATACTTGAAAACGATTGTATTTTGACATGTATAGTTTGATTGTATGTGTAGAGAACTTTCTATAAACTACACACCATGAGACGATTAATACCAAACGCCAATAACAACACTTAATCATTTTGAACGGTTCGCTGTTATTCTATACGCCTACCGCCTATTAAAAAAGAAGAAAGCACCAAAAAATGAAATTTCGATACTCTACACTGCTGAATGGATATTTTTATCGCTCTAATAATTTTACAATACAAGTGATGAGCAAAATGTTACACTTTTTTTACTTTTGACAGCAGAGGCATGCCCTTTGGAAAGCAAACTGCTTGCAGTAGCTTCCAGTGTTTTTTGCCAAACTTGAAGACGATAGCTCAAGTTCTGCGATAAGCGAGACTTAGACGTGACGCAGACGAACCGATGTGTGGACAAGTAGAAAGGCAGACAGGCAGATGGATAGACAAGTAGGCAGATGAAATATAGATGGACGGAAGTACAGACTGACGGAGAGGTTTGTTTAAATCGAGGCATACTTTATTGGGCCTCCGAAACTTTCTTCTAGGTATTCCAAGCGTTCCAAGCGACAAAAAGTGCATGCACCTCCATTCTTCCGTAATGGATATGGAAATACAACATCTTCCTTTTTACGCAGCATCTATTCATCCCTTCCATGCCACGCAGGAAGCACTCAAGAAGGAACTGCCAGAGCTAATGCTGCGATCTACTCACCAATCCTAGCTATTGCCAATTATCGTTTGTTTGCATCGATGAGCAGCTCCTGACATTGAACGGCACACATGACGCCAACTCACATAGTCCAAATTTAACAAGTTTGATTTTCTTTTTAAAGATTTTATCATATTTCAAGCGGTTTCGTCAAAAGAAAAACGACAAACTAGGCTTATTTTTGATGAAGGCCCCTATATAAACCCTGTGTGTGATGCCATTCAAAAATAAAATAAAAATTTCCAAATTCCGTAAAGTTAACTTTTATATTAAATTAGTATTATGAAACAATAAAAACACATGGACAAACAGAGCAACGGACAGACAAATAGACAAGCTTAATAATCGTGTTCGTAATCGATCTTAAGTCCTTCTGGGTGTCCCGTACACCAGCACTACTGTTTTCTTACTCTTGATTTCGAAAAAGAAATTCAAATAAATGCTTTAATGACATAAATGTAAATATCATTGTAAATGGTTTTGTTTATTATGCTTACAAGCCTTTATACAGAAATTTGCACTTGTTCTTACAATACACTTCATATTCAATGAAATTTTCATTTTAAACTTAAATTTAAAGACCAAAATAAATTGCTAAGCGTTACATCTGTTACACGCCTGAGCCGGCTTCTATGTACAACTGGATGTTTATGTCTTTTAGCCTTTAAGTACTGATAAAAATTAAATATTTATATGTACACATATATACATATATATATATATATTTATTTATTTATTTTTTTTTTTTCAATTTTTTCTTTATATTTACTGTATATATTAATATTAGTTTAAATATTTCAATTTATCTTGACATTAAAGACTTTATGTTATGCATATAACTCAGACAACACCCATCATGTAAATAATAAACAAGATGAAGATTCTATTAAGATTTATTACGTTGTCTCTTAGGAATTATGTGTAAACATTTTTCATTCTATTAATATTTTTATGTTAATATAAGGAATTTATTTTAAATTTATTCATTTCGCTCAGTTTTTAATAATAATTATTATAAAGATCCGAATTAATCAGAAATGTTTTTAAACAAGTTTAAAAATTTTGTACAATTATATGATGACAACAACAGCAATATTTTTTTTTTTTTTTTCGTTACAAAACAGGTTCCTAACTGCATATATATATATATATATAAAATGAATGAATCGAGAAGACGTAAACGCGTCCTCCTATAATGTTGCTAAGCAACTTTAAAGGTTAACTCTGATACTGCTCCCAAAAGTTTGAAGATGCATGAAAACAACAATAACAACAACAGCAACAACAACAACAACCATATCGGTTTAAATACACCAAAAGAAAAGAAAAAGAATGAAAAAAAAAAAAAAAGAGATAAAAACAAATTCAAGAAAGAAATTATATTCACGTTAAACCGAATCTTTTAATACCCAGCAAGCAGGGCTTTCGAAAGCGAAAGAACAATAACTGCAATGTATATATAATAGAATAAGCCTAGCGTGCTATGTAAGCGTAAGCATTGTAACAAACACAATTCAAAGCAACCAATAATAAAACGCAACAACAAGCAACGTACTATCAACAACATACATATATCATACATATTTTAATTGACAGAAAAGAAATCTCAATGTTTTGTCGTTTCTACCAATTCTATTAACAATTGCATATATATAAGATAGCGAGTTGCAGAAACAAAGGAGAAAAGAGTCTGCCTCTCTCACACATAACAAAAAAAAAAAAAAAAAATCACAAAATTTCTCTCTTATCCTTCTAAACTTCCTAAATTATCATAAATCTGAAGATAAAATATATATAAAAAAATAACGAAAATAATTGCTTATTGAAATAACAGCATGAAATCGATGAGGAAGACAAAAATCCTTTATATCAATAGAACGAAATGGTAAGAAACTTTGTTGAAAATAATAGCTAAGCAAGATCTTGTGCAGAGAAGTTTTATGCATTTTTATAACGTATTCATCGTACGCGTGTACCGATTGCCGCATATAAAATCTCTCTGTGCATTGCAAGCATTTGACAAATCTAATATACCGCCCATGGTGGGTATAAATTTATACAAAAAAAAAAAAAAAAAAATTCTTCGTGCAATCACACGCAGCTGTATTTATTTATCGTTTCATAGGATGAGCAAACAAGTTTGAATATAAAAATTTTTCGAACAAAATAATAAAAAGAAAAAAATTGTCTTGTGCTAATTCTTGAACTCATGCAAACACGAACAAAAAAGATGCTTTACAACAAGTTTCTGAGCACAATATATATGCAATGCAAAATAATAATTGAATACAAATTATTTTAATTGCAAAAAACCAGTAAGAATGAAATTTTCAGGTAAACAAAACTATTTAAACAACTTTGCTGTATGTTGTTCGCTTTCAAATCAATTTTTATCTTTGATTTCCTTGCGTTCAAGTGATATTGTGAGAGAGAGAGAGAGAGAGAGAGAGAGAGAGCGGCTTTTAGATAGGGTGACAATGAGTTCCCTTGTAGCGTCCTAACAAAAATTTTACACATGGACAGGGCTTGAATGACAAGCATAAATGCAGCCTACACCCGTCCCCAGCAGGACAAAATTTAACCGAAATTATTATTTTCCCAAACATCTTTATTTAGGAATATAATGCACTGTCTCTATCAGACCGTAAAGCGTGCGATACTTGTTGATGCCCAAACGATTTAGAACGATTGCAGCGATGATGATGGAATGATTTGACGATGAAACTTGGACTTATTAGGAATCATCGTAGATATGAAATTCAGATTCGGTTCGGCAGGCGCCGATTGAACGGTCACTAGAAGTCGAGCTTATGATCTTCACAAAAGCAACCGTTCAATTCCTGCACACGTTCTTATGATTCTTGTTTTGCATGATTATTCCAATGCGTTGCCAGATTTATCTTAAAATAGTTTGCAATTATTATTCCTAATTTCGATTTCGGATTAAGTACGGCCGTAGAAGGCATTCTTAAACGCACGTGTTCTCGTCGTGGCCGCAACATGAAGAAGAACTTTGCTCCACCATGACAAGATAATGCTATTTGTAATCGGTAATCGAAATATGAAGAATTAACAACAAGGCGGCAACACTCATCTTCCATCGTTTCTTGATATCAGAAATGCAATCTTCATTCACAAGCTTACCTACACTAGCACGTCGTAACATCTACATGTCTATCTACAGTTCAGGCTCGTCAGGAATTTAACTCTTCCCGACTCGAAATGTTTAAGAGCATCAAGACTAGTTTTTATAGAGCTTGCTTACTTCTTGTATCCAAGCTATTATTAATGCAAATGGATTCAGAGAAGCTATCAATCTCTATAATTCTGAACATAATTAGTTCTTTTATTATTTATTATTAATTCTGTTTAATTCTTTCAGTGTACAATTCGTTCCAGTTACTTTAATTTTATTTTTGTTAATTTTACATATGCCGATATAGGATGTATAATTGATTTTAATTAATAACAGATTGTGTTAATTAATTAACGAATAATGATTAATTAATAATAAACTTTAACTTTCATTTTTAAACAACAGTCTGAGACGGCCGAACGTCTGGTACATGTGAGCATATATGATTCTAGGTCGAACTATTCTAAGAGAGAACTTCGACACGAATATTGTTTTATTAACATGTATAAAATGTCCACTTCTATTAAACTTCTAAGTCGGGATTCTAAGGGATTCTAAGTCGCTTGTTTGTTTACCCCGTCCTAGCAAGAGAAACCGTACACCCCATGATCCTCTTATATAAAACTTCTGAAAATAGCCAAGTTGGGGTAAGATAATCCATGATTTCACAGATGTTTTCCAGACAGATAACAGATGCCTTCGCTTTAGTAGAGTTTAAGATCCCCTTCATGTGTCGGTGGGAGAGTTGATAAATTCCGCTCAAAAGTTTAAATTGAAATTTGCTATGTACAGATCGAAGTTTATTAATATTCGGTCTCATTCATTCATCTACTCCTTCAAATTTCTTTTAGGGCACTTATATATATATACAAAGTTATCGAAGATGGATAAAGGCGATCAATACGAAATCGGTTCAGAATTTTACAATATCAAGCACATATATATGTAATGCTCATAACTATATATATATGTACAAAAACAAGTAAAAACATTGTGGTATTCAACAGCTCATAATTAAATAAGTACCCTTTACCACTACAGTTAATACCGCTAATCATAAAACAACCTTTCAGATTGAGGCGTTATACAGATAATAGATGGTCCGATTTAAATCCTTTAAAAGAGCTTTCGTTCTTGAGCCGAAACACATCGTTGCATCAAATTACACCAAAATATCGCGACCTGTAGGCTGAAAGAATACGAAGCAAACAGACGGACAGATAAGCTTTCCGAATCGATTCAGTAGGCAATTCTGAATCGATTGGTGTATTAAAAGGTTAACCTATCTCAAGCCCTTCTGGACGTTTGTTTGATACATTCGCCCGAAATTAATGTACCCCTGTAGCACAAGTGATGTGGGGTACAATAATAACAAATATTTTCATAGATGTTTTTAAAAAGCACATACAAAATCGGAAGCCCGCTTGAAGGAAGATCCTGTTTTCGAGAAGAAAAATTTTTCATAGAAAAACTAAACTTCAAGGTTATTCAAATTAGTTAACTCTATAGGATTTTATATAAGAATTTGAAAGTTGATAAGAAAAATGATTGCGTTTGAAATGAGTTAAAAAATGTAGAGAACGTTTTACAAAGTTTAGAGCGGTATTTTTAAAAGATTTTCTTCAAAACTCCCATGTAAATATTTGTATTGAAACAACAACAAAATTGAAATCGCATTCGCATTGCATCGAATTAACTTATATTAGAGAGAGAAAGAGAGAGAGAGAAAAACATTCCAAAAGTTTTATTATATTTATTTTATCATATATCTTATCACTGGAGAAAATGGATCCAAGATGAATAGAATCGCATGCTACTAAAAACAGTAGCAAAATAATATCCTTGAAGCTACTACTAACATGTAACTTATAGCACGAACTTCCACGGCTTGCGAGATGAGCGTAAACCTCGAGCTGCCTATCCAGATCTCCTTGACTTGACTTTCGTCACCACTCTAAGCACAGCAGCTTAAAATATATTAATGCAAAATTGTTTAATTCGTGAATTTTATTGTTTACACCCACAACAATGGGTGAGATTTTCATTTTCATTTCATTAGCATTAAAATGTAAATTTACTTGCAAATCCTATGACTTAATCGGCACTTCCTAATTTTACAAGTCACGAAAGTTCGTGGCAATTCATCGAGACAATTTTTGCATCTCTTTGAACTCTCTGAAAGCCCTGATATATACGTTTGAGTCAACTTTTCAACCATATTTTGGAAGCAATTATTTTGTAATTTTTTGTATTTTAAACATTTGTTATATGGCATCTGTGAACTATAACCATCTATCCCCATCGGTTGTAGGTAAAAAAGAATTAACATTAGATGCTAATCGGAACTGTGCGCACACTATGGAGTTTTCTTTGCGAGTTTGTGGAATATATACCTATATCGGAGTAATGAATATCGCTCGTACACCCTTTCTTGATATCCGGCTCACCTTCAATTTATATGCTTATAATTTAATGGCACACAACTTTTTATTTTGAATTTACGTTAATTTGAAATGCGAATAATTCAGCTAAAATCTACTTAAGTTGTATGAGTAGAAATAAAAAAAAAAAAAAAAAATGAATTGAAATTTTTTAAAGTAAAGATTTTTTTTTTTTTTTTTAAAAATTTTTTTTTTTTAAATTTTTAAAAAAAAAAAATTTTTTATAAAAAAAAAAAAAAAAAAAAATTCAACAAAAACTCGATCTTATAACTAACTGGCTGAATACTTAAATCATTCTTTCAAGCAATAATCGCTCGCAATGTTTAGCTAATTATTGACTTTACACAATCATCTATCTAATGATGTTGAGTTATTTATGTATGTAATTATAAAATTCTAAATTGTTACCTGGTTACGCGCTGCTACAATTATATAATTGTCCAATCGATTTTTATATAACAGTTTCTGTCATTTCTTCTTTATTTATTTATAATTTTTTGTTTTATTTTTTAAACTTAATTACAAATTATTTATGATTTTTTAACTCTTTTGCTCTCTTTCTTTTTTTCCTTTTAAATTAATTCACTTCTTTTGAAACTAACAGCAATGGTAACATAACTACAACAACAAACAGTAAAAGCATCACGTTGTTGGATATGAATTGGCACAGAAAACACTTAACAAACAGTGATATATACATCTGTGCTTTACTAGCTCTGAACGTATCATGTGGGCATGCGTGAACGCGTTTGCGAATGCGTATGCATATGCGTATGGCTGTACGTTTATAAAAACTGTGTGTGCATGTGTGTGTGTGTGCTCATAAATCGTTTCTAACGCTCAATTCATAAGCATTAGATGCACATTCCATACATGTCAGCGAAATCCATCTGCACGTAACTAAATTTGTGCTTGCTCGTGTGCGCGCGTGTGTATGCTGCGTGTGCTCTTGTATATGTGTGCGCGCACATGAACATTTCTCTTACAATGGCTTTCGAAAGCGTTTACACAATTATTCACTATGTCATGCAAAGATACAGATACTCACACACGTTTTCAAAAAGAAAAAAAAAAAAACATCCAGAATAACGACAACAAAAGCACTTTAAATTAAATAAAAAAAAAAACAAAACAAACAAAACTTATGTATATCGAGATTTCAGTTTGATTTTTCCTAAACGCCACAACAACAATGGTAATAACAACATGAATAAACAAAAAAAAAAAAAAAAGAAGACAAAAAAACTCTTTTTCATCCAGTGTGTTTTTCAGCGATGCATAGATCGATGAATGCACATTTCTGTGTATCTGTGTTAATAATCAAACATCAATTCCTTTAGCTTAGGCTCCTGTCTTATATATACGAGACCGCACTACATTTTATAGACCGTAAACGCAATGCAGCGAATAAGTAAATGTGTCTGAATATGTTTCGTTTTTTCTTTTGGTTTTTGCTTTTGTTTCTTTTGCTTTTTTTTTTTTTTGTGTTTGTGGATTTTTTTTTTTTCGCCTTTGAGTGAAGAACGACGATTAGCACGTATAACGGTGATTGGTGATTTAAGCCCGCGTTTAACTCATTCAGTCAGTATCACGTCGACAACTGAAACAACCTGATACCAAAATAACCAGCCAGCTAGCACAAGCAACTCAGGCACTACACAGTCTTTAAGTCTGAGTACGTAAATTTTTTGTTAAAAAAAAAAAATAAATAAATAAATAAAAATAATAATAAATAAATGAAAACAATAACTACTAAACTCCAACAACAACAACAACAGCAACAACAACAATAATAATAATAATAACAGCAACGTCAGCCCATCTGTGTATTGCTCACAACAGAAGTGCTACCACGAAAACAAAAAGCAGAAAAAAAAATTAAAAAAATAAAAAATACAAAACACCAACAACAATATCTGCCATTGTACGGAACAACAGAAACATATACGGCAGCAGCAATAACAGCAACGGCAATGGCGACGGTAAAAACATGCAAACACTTATTGAAAATTCTGGTGTTTACGTCGTTAACATTAATGCCGCTTTGCTGCCAGACTTTAACAATATGACTATCAAACTGACAGACAGACTAACAGGTAAACTGAAGGCGTCAATGTTGCCTTTAAATACATCAACGTTTTAATAAGACTTACACTGCAGCTGCTGTGTTATGTATTGTAGCTGGTGCCTAGTGCTGCTGCTGGTGCTGGGTACTGGTGCTAGCGCTAGTGCTGCTGCTGTAGACAAAGGTGGACTAGTACTGTTTTTAAGGTAGTCTGCTTATTGTTATGCATTTATCTTATTGTTGCTGTTATTGTTGCTATTATCATTGTTGTTATTGTTGTGCTGGTGGTATCATTTATATATTATTTTTTCTCATTTTCAAAAGCATTCATTTCGCTGTACTTTGTTGTCTATATTTCACTTAAAGGTGTTGTTTTAACTAATACATATATATTTATTGTTGTTGCTGTTGCTATTCCTTTTGCTGTTGTTGTTGTTGATATTATTGTGGAAATAATGTTGCAATTGTGCATTGTATTACAATTTACGCTATATCATCAAAACGCCATAATCTACATAGAATCATATGAGCTTTCATTGCAAAATCTTTTTCTATTTTTTTTTTTTTTTTTTTTTGTATTTGTTGTTGTTAGTCGACATCGCATTTCTTAAAGATCAACTAACTACAACGATAAGCATTTACTTCAAAACTGAACCGAGAAAAATATTATACATAACGTCTTTAGATATTTTTAGCAAAATTAAAATGCAAAGCAATTCAAGGCTCAGTTTAATTAAACTAAAACCCGAACCAAACATTTCACTTGATCGTCCTTTATTCATTTCTTGCTGCTTATCAGAAGTACAAAAGAATATCTATATTTGTCGCGACGTCGTAACAAGTTGTGTGGATGTGCGTACACTTTCGCCCTTATAATTGTAAGCGCAACATAAAGAACAGCTTTGCTCTTTGGCCATAATACGGCCCTTGTTCGTACAATATATGATTCTTAAAATTTAACATAAACAACCGCACTTATTGTAATGTAAGAAGAAACAAAAAAGGAACGTACTTGTCATACAACTGAGTCATAAGCGAAAAGTAACGCAAAGAAATGCATTTACAGGAGAACAGTTCCGATTATATTCAGGGGCGATTACTTGGGGAAATAAAAAATCATCTTTTCTTTTTGCTAAAACACACTACGTAATGTTTGCTATATTGTTTTTGAACTCAACCTTAAAGGAGCAGAGAATGACAAATCATTATTATAATCCAATATAGGTTTGAGTAGCATTAGTAGCCACAGCCATATGGTTGCATTGCATTTCATCGTTCGGATTGAGATTAAGTTAATCGATCATCTACAGCTTGGAATAGACACTGTTACCACTGGACTTTTACTTCCAATATTTTTTAGATTAGATTGAAAAAAATATTCATATTCTGGCAGAACGAGTTTCATTCTTAGTATATTCCCTATTAAAATCGATACGTTTATATACACTTATTCCTTCTCAGCAATGATTGTTGGCCGTCTGTCAAACTATTCGTTTCGGTTTGCTGCACTTACTTTATTCGAAGACCTTTCCGAATCTTACTCGGAGTTTGATATTACACGTAAATCATAGCATCCATGTGAGATTGAAACATTTTTCGGTTGTAATACTTATTTGCGTATAATATATACCATCATAATCTCATAATATAAATAATTGGAATTTGAAATATTTAGCTCGGTAACCGTATAAGCTGTAGATAGCGATAGCGATAGTTCATAGATGTCGTAATATTATTATTATTGTTACTTTTCTTTTTCAACTCAAAACCTCAATTTACTCAATTGGAGGCGCAAAAAAAAAACACTATATACTTATAAATAAATATAAAATCCGCTGAGTGAATATATATATAATATATATTCTTCATTCGATCTCCCCTTCAATTTGTACGTGCGATAATTGTCGCCTTTTAGCATATCTCGCCGTAGGGTGCTAAGAGAAATCCAATTGTTTCAGCCACGGTTCTGAATATTGTCTGGCATCATCAGCTCTGGGTTCTCGATATTACCGTTGTTCGTGCATTTCATCTTCCGTACAATTCCGAATAGCTGCAGCTAAGATGATAGATAGACTTTAAAATGTAGTCTTTGCTCAGTATATTGTTGTTGTTGTTGTTGTTATTGTTATTGTTATTGTTGTTGCTACATCCACCGCAAACCGCACCTTCGTCCTCTGCGTATTCACGAGCATTATGTTAGGCCAGTTAACTTCTAGACTACAGACCGTCTAGACAATGCGGTTCCAAAATGAACTGCATGGACTGCTTTGAAACACTGATTTTAGATAGTCTTTGTAATAAGGCTTATGATCGTTCAGCAATTCCGCAATTTGCGACCTATGGTCAGCTATTGTGTATCTTACTTCGCATTCGTGTATCCTAGTGGCGTAAGGCGTTCTCATCCTGGAGTGACGCTTCAATGTTTATTTGCATATAAGTTGACATTTATCCGATCACTTTTCAATATTTATAAGAGCAATTTACATCAAATTGAGCGCAGCTATCAGGATATTGGTTACTGAAGAAGAAAAAGCTACGCCTTTGGATAATTCCATGCAAATAAAATGGAAACATACTACTACCTTTTGATCGCAATAATACATCGGGTAAATATGATAAGTTTATGTTATACTTAATATATGAAAGTGAAATAGGTCGCCGGCGAAAGGAAAAGTGGAGCGTACGATCAAGTTTTTCGTAGACACTGCACGCTTGCTTAACCTTACAAATACATATTGCCAACCTCACATGAGCCTTCATATAGTCTTACTACTGTTTGAAATCTATGTGCGCACAGATATCTAAATGGTTTTATTTTTCGAATTATTTATTATACAAAAATTTATAATAGCTTCGCTTACTTCGCCGAAGCAATTTGTATGATGCTCTTGGTGTTCATTATACGGATTCGATTATTGAATACATACGTTTCCTTCTCGCTTCCCCTATCATATCGCAGCAGGTGCAAGTGTAAAGCATACAATTCCAACACTTGCCGACGCACAAAACCGTCACGGAAACGGAATCATAAAGAATTTAATCATGAAAGGTCAACTTTATAGTCCTGACATTTCAGACTAATGATGAAAAATAATCAAAAATATATTATAATAAATAAATAAAAAAAAACATGTCTATAAAGGGCTCTTCTCAAAAATAGATTTTCATTCAAAATGTCACACACAGCATAATCAACAGCCAATCAACAATTTTCCGTTGCTTCCTTTTGACAATATCTTTAAAGCAACATATTCCAGGGAGCCTACGCAGGTTATTCTTAATAATAAATTTGTAACTATTTTAAACCCTACACAAAGCACTTGTGTTCAATTTGTGCAGATGTGCGCGACACCCAGAGTAAAATCCAACGTTTATTACCTCAATCGATGCAGAAGGTGACTTCCGGGCTTGTATGTCTGTCTGTCTGCCCATCTTGGTTTCTTTCTTGTGTTTAATTTTTGGGATATTTTGATGAAATTCGGTACACTAACTTGTTTCGGTCCACGAACGAACGCTACTGAAAATGGGACGAATCGGACTACTTTTCCGAACACTTTCCATATAACACCTCATTTTGGAAGCTCGCTTGGCGAACATCAGTATTAAGTGAAGAAGTATAGGATGTATTATGGTGGACCGTGGCCAGCTGTAGGGTTTTTACTTATAGAATATTAAAAGAGTTTCTTTTTTGACAAAACAAAATTGTAACTTTTCCATTCAAGTAGTTGATCATCGCACGAAAAGCAATATTTACCAAAAAAAAAAACCTATGTGCTTCACTGGCTGTGGACATGTAAATTACTTAACTATTATTATTTTCTCTATTTTCTTATTTAGATTTACGCCAGTTACACTGCATACCACAGAGCCCTCTTACGTGTCATCTGCCTCACAGGAATAGTTCTGATGCTGTCATTATTTTAACACTTTTCAAAAGCTTTTATTTGTCATCTTTTGATACTTAAATATACACTTAATAACCTCCTCGAATATTATTATTCTGTCAGTTTCCCATTCATTCTAAAAAACGTATCAAAAAATAAAAAATAACTTCTCCGCCTTTAATCTCTCGTGCAATAGGCTTCTTTCGCAACATGAATAAATAAAATACAAAAACCAACGAAGCCTATTTTATGATTATGAGGGATTATAGGAAACTAAGAAATTTTAACAATTAGGGAATGTATCATCGACAATGGTCCGTTTGAAATTAAGCGACATTTGCAAAATCGATTTTCCCGATTCTTAGTTAATTGTTAAGTAAGTACAAGTTTCTTTTATTCACACCCTACATAGGGACATGATTTAGGCTAAATAACATAACTAGCCAACAAAGAGTAGCAAAAAAAAATTTGTTGGCATGCGAAAAATGTTGGCAATCAGCCCGCAACAGCACTTAAAAAATATAATAAAAACAGAAAAAAAAAAAACAAAAATCTTGAGCAAAGACATTACAGTCCTGAAGCAATACTGAGACATCAGCATATGTGACTGCGCGGTTTAAAGAAAAGCAACACAACACAACAACTTAAAGAAATGCTTTGAGGTACATTCGCTCATTTAACATACGAATACAGGTTGTTATCGCTGGCTGTTGATGTTGTGAATTTGCTTGTTATGTGCGCGCTCTAACTAAACAATACAATAAAAAATGTAAAAACAAAAAAAATAATAATAAAATAATAATAATAAAAAAAAAAAAAAAAAAACAACAACAACAACGACAGCAATAGTAATACCGCAAATATAGTCTTGCAAGTCGCAGTAACGAAAAAAGGCCAATAAATTATAATAAATTGCTTAAAAGTTGTTTGCATTTTTTTTTATGGGATTTTTCTTTTTCTCGCGTTTCTTTCGATAGTTTCTCTATGTCTCTCTCTCCGTCTCTCTATTTTTCATTTTTCTTCTTTTTTTTTTTATTGAAAATCACAGAAAAACTATTTCAAAAATATCTTGAAATTTCTCATAAGAAAATGAAGTAAATAAATCCAAATGTACAAGTGCGCGTATAGAAGAGTCTGATAAAGAGCTGAGTAGTTGAAATCTCCAAATAATGATTTTATAAAACTTATTACGGATTTCCATTCAGCTATAAAGAAGGGAATTTTTTCGCGTTCCGCTATTAAACGCTCTACACCACTTCGCTTAATATATAATTATTCATATAACGACTTTTGAAAATAAAGCGGATTGTATTGCAAGTAGTCGAGAAAGTGGTCCGATTCGAAGCGATCCTATTTTCAATAGTGTTCGTCCTTGAGGCAAAACGCGGCAGTGTATAAAATTTCATTAAAATTTGTCAAAAATTACGGCCTGTAGGTTGAACGGACGACCGGACAGGCAGACAGACAAACTTAGATTCATTCCGAAAGTGATTCTGAATCGATCGGTTTAATAAACAGTGTGCCTATCTCAAATACTTGCGTGTTTTGCATGTATTCAGCACAAACCTGATATATACTTGTATCACAAGTTGTATAGGATATAAAAAAACAAAAAATACTTCTCTTCCTTATTTAATGACAGAAGAGCAGAAGCTACGAAATTATCGCGCCTCTTTCTTTTTCTAGTCCACACCACTTGCTGATGATTCTGAATCGATCTAAGCTTCTCTGTCCACCTATCCGTCTGGTGTTTGCCGCTGTAAATTTGTGTTCAAACTACAGGCCGCAATTTTTGATATATTTTGATGAAATTGGGTACACTGACGTGTTTTGGCCCAAGGGAAAACGCTATTGCAAATGAATTAAGTCGGTCAGCTTTTGTTTGGGCCACCCGCCAAAAAATTGCAATTTTCAAAATCCTCGACAATAGTCGCTGAGTAATTCGGCCTTAGGGACCTTAGAAAGTTGTAAAAAATTTGGATCGGGCGGGGTAATTTTTTCAGCCCTCTTGTATATAATCCTTTTTACAAAAACGCAAACCTCATATGTTAAAGCGGCATAATGCCATTGACAATAGTTCGAATCGGTTCAGTATTTTGACCATTTCCTTATCATTCCATATCATTCGTTATCATATGGAAAAAAACTACAATTTTCAAAATTGTCAATCAACAACAATGGCTGGATAATACTAATGCGACATTACAATTTAGCACAAAGAACTTTTTTCGTCAGCGCGAAGTTTTTGAACCGCCTCTAATATAATAGTTCCTGCGAAAACTGAATCGTTATGTAGTAAAAACATACGATTTTTAATATTTCATGTAACAAGCGAAGCGGTGTAGGGTATCTATCTAATGGCCGGCCTTGCTCGACTATAACATTTATTTCTATATATTTTGTATTTGTTCGCATAATATCATCGAAGCACGCAGCGAAGAGTGTGCCTTGGGAAAGTATTTTATTCCAAATTATACTAACATGACCCTACGTAAATCTATTAGAGAACGCAATACCTCTTTATCACGACCTGTAATCTTTTGTTTTTAAAACCTTTTTCTTTCTTTTGTTTTTTTTTTTTTTTTTTTTTTTTTTGCTCTGTTGCAGTTTTTTACTGCTTTTGAACTATTGTAGAAAATGAGAGTAAGAAATGCAGTTCGTATTTAAAAAACAAAGTGTCCTTCTATTTTCACGGGCTTTCGATCAAAAATATATCTGTCATCTTTTCCATAAACGCTTCAGAAGAACTTCGCCCCAGCAAAATAATACATCCAAATTGAAGCGATTCACTCAATAAGTCTCTGGTCTGAAACATACTATTGACATATAATTTCTGAATAGTACCAACCTTCAAACGATGCGTGTCAAAGTTTCCTTCTTGACATTCTGACAATTAGTTTAAAGGTCACGCGATTTTTGATATTTCCAGAATTCTGGAAAACTCTGAGTTTCGTTGGTTGATTAAATGGTGCTTTTTAGTAAGAAAAAGTACCGTTCAGACTTGACATTGGTTTGGAAAATGTTATGGCTGCGCTTGGCTGTCGAAAAAATAAATTTTTAAGTAGTTCGCTAATTTTAAACAAGGTTACGTGGACCGATGGCCGATGATGTTGGATACTCTGGTCGCCAAAATTCGTCACTTGTTGTAAAAAGTATAAACGAAGTGTACAAAATCGTTTTGGAAAATCGAAAAACGAAGTTGCTTGAGATAGCTGATACCCTAATTTGGCATCAACATTTATCCATGGGGAAGATCTGCTCGAAGTGGCTGCAGCGTTTGACTGCTTTTGATCGAAAACAACAAGGTGTCGAAGATGATGTTTAAGCGAAATGAGAAGGGTTTTCAGCCGAGCGGACAGCAGCCGGCGAGAGTCGACCAAAGCAACCAAAAAATCAAAAATCGTCAGAAAAAGCAATGGCACCCATATTTTGGAATGCATATGCTACAATAGAGGTCGACTATCTCAGAAACGGACAAGGGATCAATAATGAATATTATGCCGCATTGTAGTTAGATCGGAGACTTATTGAATACTGTGATATAATTTAAATGTTTTAATTATACGCATGAACAGAGTCTGTTACTAGGTTTCTTTACGAAATCAGTTCAGAGATCACCCTGATGATCACGAAATGATTGCAATGCACAGACCCGAAGCTTTCTCGTTGAAGATGAAAATTTTCATTGCAAAATTTACTGCAGGCGCCTTAGATCTACTTTTACTTCGGCATTAAGCGAGGCTGGCTTACCCACAAGAAATGCGTACAAAATTGTCATATCGATGATAATTTCATGCTGGTGGTGGTGCAACTACAACTACCGTGTCGCTAATGGTTTTTATTTGTAATTTTTACCCTTTAAAAATGCAGCAACAGGCATCTGAACTTGTTCAGCATCTACGACGAAAGTATGCAAAAGCTCTCACAAACATTAGGAATTAAACAGGTGATCAAGTATTTGTAGACTCAATACTTGCAAACACTTTAAGTAAAAAGATCGAATTTTAAGATTTCGTTGAGACGAACAAATGAATGGTCGGTAATGTATCGACTCGGAGTAGAACTGTAATGTAAAGTATTTATCCGTTTTTTTTTTTGCAGGTTTTCTTTACTTGTTCCGGGTAGAAAACAGAAAACTATCCTGAAACTTCTTAAAGGTATCCAACGATCACGTCTCTCATATATCATTAATTGAAACTGTTTTACAAAATGTAACAGTAACACCTCTTGATTTTCTCACTAACACGATCTCTATGATCTTCTCACTTATTATTATCTATGTACATATCAATTTCTGAATAGAAATTGAATTTTCTTCTTTTTTTTTTGCTACAATTTCTTTATGTGTTGTTGCTATTAAAATATAATGCATATTATATGCCATGTGATGATAAATACTAATTATAAAATAATTCTATTACTTCCTGTATGGAAAAGAAGAAAAACAAGTAAGAAATTCATACACGGCATAGATCGACGCTTTCGATAACTACAATGTATTTGTTTTTTGCTTTTTTTTTTTTTTTTTTTTTTATTACAATTAACATAAACCTAACATGCTATGTGGGTAAATGCCTTACAGCTTAATTTTGTCATAAGGTCGATAATCGATTACTCTCTTCGGTAAATATATTGTATATGCTGCTCGATCACAAGCCTATGGAAAAGTCGATTACAAATAAATTGGGAAATGTACGAGTGACAATTAATTTTTTAATTCGTTACAAATGCTTGACAAATTTCATGTCTTGTATTTTATATTATGTGCGCGTGTATGTGTTTATCACATTATTTCAATTATATTCTTGGCCATTTTATTAATAATTAACAAATGCTTTATTCTACTAAAATTTTTTGAAGCGAATGCAAAAAAATGCATCGCGCAATTTTACTTGCAGTTGATATGAAATCAAAAACTAAGAAAAGTAATAAAAGAAATTCTATAACAGTTTAAAAGTAAAAACTAAAAAGTATAGAGCTTAGCACATCTGCGTACATATCTACATATACGTATACATATACTTATGTATATATATTCGTTGGGTGGCTACATATAAATCTTCTGTTGATTGTTATAACAATTTCTACTTATAAAAGAAACTAAATACCGCGGGACTAGGCAAATACAACCAGGCAATTACAACTGCTACGATATCAATGCAAATTGTTTAACTTATAAACTTTCTAAATATCATTCAATGTTATCAAAAGTAAAGAAAAAGAAACGAAAAAGAAAAAACTAAAAACATTTTCTTCTTTGTCCCATACGTCCATGACATTATATTTTTAGGTAGACTTCTCACTATCTTTTTGCAAGAATTTCCAGTGTAGAGTGTCAATCATGTGTGGTGTATGAGTTAATTGCAAGAGTTAGTTTAATAATTGCTTCTGCTCACTAACTTGCATTTTACAAGATTTTTTTTCTTTTTTTTTTTTTTTAGCCTTACTTTTCAATAACATTAACGGCTTAATATTGTGTATAATTTTCTTGAGTTTCCATGTCATGCACTGATGCCTACAAAACATTATGCTATTATATATGCATCTATATATATATATATATATATATATATATATATACATTGTTTTATATCTTTTTATAGTTTTTCATCTTCACACTTGTTGTGCATCAATTTCAATCTCTTTAAGTGATAGAACTTTATACTCACACCTCACATGCAACCTACCTAAACAACGCGTTTGATAATGTTCTTTGAGAGAATTTCCATTCATATTATTGTTCCGTGTATTAAGGATGCTGTTTACATTGTAACACTCATCGGACAATCATTATCTGAAAATTTTTTTTTCACCAAAAATACGTATGACATATCGTATATTCGTGTCAGCAGTCATTTCTTATTAGAATCCTTAAGTTCACGAGAAATTTGCGCAAAAACGATCAAATTTAGCGAAAATTTTCTAATATCGCTTTCGCATTTTTGTGATTCGCTTGTAAGAACCCTCACAACAGCTGCGAGTTCAAAACAATTTTGAAAACTCAATAGCAACTAATTTAACAGAATAGAAACCTTCTCCTTGCAAAACAGTAGACCCTTTTCCATAGCATAGGCGTATATTAGATATAGCCAGTCAAAAAAAGAGGAGTCAAAAATGTAAGGTCGGGTGACAAATTACACCCTTAAAATTCTCATGCTGACTCAACTTCTTCTTTTTTTTTTTGTTGTTTTTTGCTAGATTGCACTCATTTGAGGTGATGACCTGAAAATTTCAAAAATGATGAATAGTTTTAGGATCTATCCAATCAAATTTCATTTGAATCGGATTGCTTACTCTGCTGTATAGAAAAGGTATATATATATATATATAAGTACACTGCAATAGAAAGAAAATTAACTTTTTTCATTTTTTAGTTTCCTAAATTTTTCGCAAAATAATTAATTTTTTTTAAATTTCTGAATTTAACTCTGTTTTCAATCGGCTCCAAAAAGTATGTTACAAATCTTGTATCCAGATTTTATTAAATTTTTATATATACACTATTTTGTTGTTGCATTTCGATAGCGGTCGAAGCTGACCGTGACTTTGTTATTGCATTTTGCAATATTATTTAAATTCTTATTTTATTGTTGCATTTCGACAGGTTAATTTGAAAAAGTTTGAGCATTCTCAACTTGTTTGTAACCAGTGCTAAAATATGGACCGCGAGGGACAGCAAGAAGCGAATGGAATTACCCGCCTTACGATGTTTTAGTTTGTCAAACCACAAAACAAGAAACCGTTCAAAACAGACTTGCCTAAAAATTTGTTCATTTGATTAAACCATCACATACACAGAAATGGACTAAGGTAATTTGCATTGGGCCGTACTAATGACAATGACTCGTAAGGCTCGTAAAAGCTTTTTCAGACTTAATGCCTAGTCAACCATCTTTGGCGGGCAGTTCTATACCTTCTTCACCTTTATTACCTTCGTTAAGCCATCGACTGCGTATAACGCCTTTATGCGATACGCTATTAATGAAGGGCAGCTTTTGTTCTTTCCAGTCTTTTTATTTATTTTTTTAAAACTAAGTCCGAATTCCTTAGCTATAAGACTCTTTCAGTACTTTAAACCACCGAGTGCAAATGTCGGACGACGACATAACCGCTTCATACCTTTCAAGTAAATAACGATCGGGAGAGCATAAATCTAAAACCTAAATTTGTTAAATAAGTTTGCTAATATGAATATATTTTTTTTTATTTTAATACTTTGTAAGTAAGCCAAATATTTCTGAATTTTGGTGTAGCTTTCTATCCATGATTTTTTTCTATCCTTTTTTTTTCCTTGTCGTTCTTTCATAATAACAAGTGCGCTTCGTTTACTATTTAGGCGATCGTTTTTATTCGCAAAAAAAAACTTACCATCACTTACCCTGGTATACAGAGTAGCGGCGATGCTTTGTAGAGATGATAAAAGATTGAAGCAATTCCTTATAGAACTGATTCAAACCTGTTTAGAATCGCATCTGTAAAACAAATATCGCATAGAGTGCGGCAAAAACAATGAAAAAAAAAACCAATTCCTAATATAATTATTTGGGTGTTTTTTCTGGTATCTTCCTATATGATTAGTCAATTTTTTCTCCATCTTCTTGGAGTTTGGTTTTCATGAATTTTTTGCACTTCTACAACACATTTCCTTTTTTCCTTTACTCTTTCTTTAATAATAAAATATGCTTTTTATTTATTATTGGCATTATTGCTTCTACACACAGCTATATAAAATTGACGTAATTTTCCATAGAATTACTCTTGCACGGCGGTTTCGCTATCGATATTAGGATTTCTTTGTATTCAAGAAATACAGCTCCTGATCATATATATGTATGAAGTACGATGTAAATAATAAGAGTGTGGCAACGCCATTAAGAATATCGAACCATACAGTTACTCTTGGCAACACTAACGACGCAAAAAACAAAAACAAAAAGTCAAAACAAGAGTTTTTTCCTGAACACAGAAAAAATTTACTTTGTAAAAGTGGACCTGTTCAACTGATTTGAAAATAAAAAATTAAAACATTTATATAAATGAAATTAAATAAATCAAATGCTTAGAGCTCGTTAGAAAAATTGTTCCCAATTGCATGCAAATTGATAAGCAAACAAAAATTAGTGCACTTAACCACTTCAAAAATCGAGTTGTCGTAAAAAAGACGTACAGAGAAAAGTATAATAAAGAAAATTGGATTAGCAGAAAATTAATTTAGTTTCACGTGCGGTAAAAGAAAAAAAGAGAGAGAATACTTAGTATATGAAATATACGTATATATAATATATATACGTAGCGATATAGGGAAAGTAAAGGGTCCCCACAAACCACTGATGAGTAAACTACAAAAACAAGTAAATTGGCAAGAGTGACAACAATTCTTTGCGACCTTGACTTTAAAAGAAGTGTAAACTTCAAGGACATTGCATGTTTTCTTTGATTATAAAAGCATCAAAAACAGTGTCGCAAGAAACATTCGTTCGGTATATTGGTGGAGATAAAGAAACTTATCAGTACCAGCAGCCGCCGAGAAGAAGACTGACACTTCATATGTTTTTGTGCGTGTTGAAGGAATTGTCAAAATTGTGTTTGGTCTGCAATTGTGGCAACCATCCCAATCCTCTCCAGCTATACGAACACAGGGCTGGTTTGGATTCGGATACACACCCGATCAGTTACTAACATTGAGCCGGCGTATACAAAAAATCTGCAATAAACGGGATTTGTTAAATATGTCTCAATCGTCGGCCACTAATTCAGAAGATGACAGCAAAACGGCAAACAATGAGTCGGTGGCTGTCGACAGTGTAATCGATTTTAAAGGGAAACACTTCGGCCTTGAAAGCACATCCCAAGATTCGGATGATTACTTAGTTTCAGGATCGGAAGGCACTATGATTGATGTTGAGAGATTTTGTCACGCCGACTATCGTATAGAGCAATATGCTCACAGTGTATTAGACTTCAGTTCACAATATGGTATAGATCTAAGTATATCATATACGGCGCCAAATATTACGGGGCGTCCGTCAAAATATCCGGAATATGGGGATTTCCCGCAAACATTTGCTATGGTAAATCTAATAATAAAAAAGGAGATTTTACAAATTTAACAAAGTTTTTTACATATTAGCGTACTTACGGTGCTTGGTGGGATAGAGCTCCGTCACGTCTTAAAGAAATACAACCTCAAAATGTATCAGAAATACCAGCAGAAGATTTTATAGGTTAATACACATTTTCAATAAATTTGAGCATTTTTCTCCTATCCACCATCGAAATTGTTCCAAATCTCTAAAAAAACTGAACTCTGCATCTTCGCTTGTCCAAAGAGTGCCGATTGCAAAACTTGAATTCCTATTCGTAGCGTATATTGCCTTACACGTATGCTCACGATAGCTAAAACACTTAAAATATTTCCAGCAATATCCTACCAGATTATGATACATACAATGTGTATAAATATATATATGTATCTTTGAGCTGCGCAACTGGACAAAATGATGCAATAACACACTAATTCTAAGATTATTTCTGTACCTACAGTCGGATGTTATTTTTACTGTCATACCATATGCAAGATCCAGTAGCAAGCTTCAGAGACCCTGCGTACATTGGTTTATACATTCCAATCTGTCCGACACACCAACAACATAACACATCACTTTGAGAATAACTTTGCTTTCTGCTTATTACTCCTAAACTACAGCAGACACAATAATTAAAAAATATCCAAAATATATTCTATAAGTGATACCGCAGTACCTGTGCATGGCCAGGCCTTCCCAAGAGTTCCTATTTTTTTTTTAAGATAAGATGATGGATATAAGATTCGGCCACGGCCGTATGCAATTTTTTTTACTTACTTAATTTCATTGTATCGCTCTATCAGTACTTTATTTTGAGGACTACATTATACCTGATGAAATAGCAATTTTTGAGACCTACAATCCTGGCGCTGTAATACGCGTGTGGGCGTATACCATAGCTAAGACATGGATTTGTTTATGGGAAGATAAGGAATTTTACACTAAACCTATATATAGCCCATCTCGTGCCCGACGTTTTACACCACCACTTAAGCGAATACAATTACCCACAAAGTAAGCGCAAAAGTGTTAAATTATTGCTTTTATGACTAACAGTAAACTGCTTTCAGGACGATAAGACTGGAGTTCAATCATCAACGACTTCATTACTATACTGAAATCGATGCGGTATTATTAAGCGGTAAAAAATTCAATACACGCAATATGCAACATCTACTTGATTACTATGAAAGGCAAAGAAAAGGTATTTGTTAACGCATTTGAATCCCCTTTTTTTTTTAATGCATAAAAAGAAGTTTTAACTTTAGGTTCAATTTTATGTAAATTACAAAATATGAAATTTCGTCCGATCTGCAGGGATAACTATCAAAATCGTTTGCAGCATTTCTTAATGCATGATCTGGATAAATTTATCTCGGTGTTGTCTGATGTGCAAATACAATCCATGCAACGCCAACAACAACAGCAGCTGCAATCATCCAACACTGATGAAATGAAAATTTCAAAAATCGGTTTGAAAAATATGCCGGTAACTTTATCCGTGGTTTTCATATTTTTTTCTTTTATGTATATATATTGATTACATGAATAACTTGGTCTTTACAGTTCGAGATAATGCTAAAAATTTTTAGCTATCTGGATTTGAAATCTTTATTCCGTGTAGGAGCAGTATCGCGATTCCTCTATGATGTGTCTACACATCCTCTCTTGTATAGTGAATTGAATTTGAAACCTTATTGGCATTTAGCCAGTACCGAATTATTGTCTACTTTGGCCAAAAGAGCAACGATATTAAAAAAATTAGATATGTCCTGGTGCGGCTGTACTGTTCAAACCATATCACCAACCGAATTTAAAAAGTACGCATGACCAGCCTTTTAAAAAGTGTATAATTAATTAATTGTTCTTACTGCCTCTTCTATTATTCCAAAGATTCATACAACAACGAGGCGATTCTTTAACACATTTGCGATTGAATTCTACTAAATTCTTAAATGCCAGTTGCATCGATACGTTGGGCATAGTCTGTGATAATCTAAAAGGTAACAATTTTTATATCAATTTATAGAATTTATCTATGAAAAACTAATAATAATAATAATATCTCCTTGTCGTATTGTAGAATTATCGTTACGTAATTGTTCTCCTAGTCCGCCGTTGTTGAATTTTTCTTGTTTAGCAAATTTAAAAAATCTCGAGCGTTTAGATCTGTTTCAAACCGTTATCGAATCCGATTTGTTGTTAACCATGTTGGAGAATAATCCAAAATTAAAACATTTAAATCTGGGTAAACATAATATAATAATATGCGTATAACATACGTATCCCCATTATATTACATTATATTTAATTACGCTATATGCACTTTCAGCATTTTGCAGTGTAGCCGTTAATATGGATGATGTGGCCCAGCACATAGCCAAGTATAATAAACAGTTGATCTCCTTGGATATGTGGAAAGCTCATTTTTTATCAGCCCAAGGATTGTTGGTTCTATCGAATTGTCATAATTTAGAAGAAATTGATTTTGGCTGGTGGTAAATATTTTCTGTTGATCTTTCGTTTTTGCTTAATTAATTTCCCTCTTTCTTCGTTCTCCGTCACAGTTTGCGTGAAGCTTCTTTGGGGGACAGCTTAAGAGAATTTCTTACTCAGTGTACAAAATTGAAAAAATTATTTTTGGCAGCTGTTCGAGGATTAACAGATCGTGACCTAGAGTATATAGCGAATTTGTGTCCAAATTTGGAACAATTAGATTTAATGGGTGTTTTAGGCATATCCAAAGAAAGATATATTGAGTAAGTTTGGATGAATATATATTTAATTGAAAATATTGTTCATTTTATTTATTTATAAATTTTTTACTTAAGCATTTTACAAAAGTGTGCTAAACTTCAACTATTGGACCTATGCTTTTGTGATAATATTATGGATTATGATGTAAGTTTACTAAACACTCGCCTCATTAACGCATTACAATAGATGATCTATTATCTATTTTATTATCATTAGGTGGCTTTATGGTCTCGCACTTTCAAAGTGGATATCAAGTCTTGCCAGGTACCTAACGATTTTAGATAAGTTATTTTTCTAAGGTCAAAAATTTGTTGTAGTTTTAAATGTGTAAAAGAACATTGTGAACATTTTGAAGTGCTTTTAATAAAAACTTTATGCTAATGTTAAAATAAAACCAAACCAGGTTTTGCTACAAAATATATAAAAATAAATTGAATTTTTAATTTTATATTATATACGAATGTATAATATATATTTTACTATTCAATTCGTTCGGAAGTGCACTATCAAAAATTAAAACGCGATATTCCTTTTGCAAAGCGCATATAATATTTCCGATTACAGCTTCCTCGACTTAATATAAATACGAAGCTGGCTATAAACTCCAATTCTAAAGGATCCCAGTTTATAGCAGTTTATTTACATCAACACGCCAGGTTTTTGAACGTTATGTCAACAGTAGTCAACCGACGAAGAAAAACAACTGAGACACAAAGCAGTTGAGTAACCAAACGGCAAATCTTTATTAGTTAAACGCGTAAATAATTTAAAGCTACAATTTCAACATACAATAACAATATAACAAACTAAATATTTTGATTGTCATTATCTAAACTATGTTTGGAACGTCCATATTTTATACATATCACATAAATAAATATGTGTTCAGACACACAACATACAACATGCATACATACAGATTTCATGTCTGGCTTGCTAACAGACACTCATTACATGCACATGCATATTGATTATTTATTCTCCAGAGAATACGTAATCAGAGTCTTTGCATTCACATTGGCCTGTAGCAAATATGCAAAGAGAATTGTTAGTTACCCTTCGATTCACGTAGCCATCAAGAATATGAGTGGGAAGAACTATGCAAGTAACTTTCTCAGTTTAGATTGAATTTTGTCCATTGATACTATAGTAAGCCTTTCCGGACTTTACATGCAAGCAATTCAATTGAATCAGTAGCCTTAGAGCGACTGGAAATTCGTTTAGCATTGAAATGCGAACTCTCGCAATAATGGCTTTTGTCTAGGACATCGTTGAATTTATCAAAATCTTGCAAATTTTGATTTCTAAATGAATACAATTTTCTTGCAGTTCATCGAAACTGATTTTATTACCTTTGATAATATTTGATTGAGTTTTCGAATTTTTTAGGATTTTTTAGCTTAGAAAAAAAAAGTAATATAAATTGAATTGTGTTATTACCCCTCTACATAGCTGTGTTTTTTAAAAGAAATTGTTTATCATACGGAGTAAATTCCCTATTGTAAACAATTTAATTTTAATTAATTTCAAATATATCCAAAGAGCGAATTTATTTTATTTTCGTTAGTATCGATTTTAAAAATTAGTAATATATATAATAATAATAGTAATAATATTAACAGTTGATATATATAAAAAAAATTATGACAAATAAAAGAAGTGGCAACAATTCTAAGAAATGCAACAACAAAATACACACGGTCTTGCTTTTGAAATGTAAACAATAGCACGTGCAGGACAAATGTAAACAAAAATGGAATTTGCAACACCCAGCACACATGATATCAGTATTTTGCAACAACAATCCTACATATTAGTAATTTCACAACGATATACAACCACACAAGACGAAAGTAGCTAAAGCTACGACACAATCACACACAAAAAGCTTTACAAAAATGGTGATTTTTTAGCAGAGTCGTTGTTCACGGAAAAAAGGTAATCACATTCCTGAAAGCATACATTTTATCCAGACTTGGTAATACTTTTCGGTGACAACAATTTTTCCATAAAGAAAGTAATTTTATAAAACACCTGAATTGTAAAGAAAAATTTTATTTGCATTAATTTTTGTTGAGCGGCTCATATTAAAATTAAAATGGAAGTGCTTTGAATGGGGTCGGCGCAAAAAATTCAACTTATCTAATCATCGGCTCTATCTGTCGTAATTATATCTAAAAACTAATAGTTTCAATGAAATCTTACGATAACAAGAAAATGATGTGAAACCATAAAAGAGAACAAGGAATTTATGCCCCAAACATCAGACATTAAAATCTAACACTCGGTAAAAAGCAATAACGAGAGTTACAATCAAAAAATATGTAATTGAAAAAATACCGAAGGATCAAAAAAAAAAAAAAAAAAAAAAAAATTACAGGTGAAACGGACAGAAACACAAAAAATGTCAAAATTACTTTGTTGTTATTTTCATACAGCGTTGCATGCTTACGGTGTGTATATGTTCTAATTGACTACATAATTACTTTTGCTTATATTGGACAATCCGAAAACTCTGAGAAAAGAGCTATTCAAGTTAGAAAATGTAATTCGTTGACGTTGTCTAAGGATTTCATTAACGACCGATGAGTATTAACTATTTTAAAGACTAGATCATTTTAATAAATTAATTAAATTAATTAATTAGTCCTTTTGCTAGTTAATATTCAAAATTTGACGTAGATAATGGACTACAATAGTTATTCAGGATTCTATCATTTTCTAAATTATGACAGATGCAAAAGGTCGAAAAGTATATATATATATATAATGGAATATATTGATATAAAATGCTTTCGACATCCTTTCGATTTCGGTGATTTTATTGGCTTTTCTTCTTGCTCTTGAGAAGATTTCTTTCAAAACAATATGGCATAAGTTTCATAAAATTTTACTTTTTCACAAAACATATTGCATAAATATTGTGTTGAAACGAATATACTGCGTTAAATTTGCGACACTGCACAAGGCCGACGTACGAATGACATTTCATACTTCTCTTTTTTTTTCTGTCTTGTCGTCCGTCGTTTTCTCTTATTCGTTTGTGGAATTTCACTGAAATGCGTTGCAATTTTGAACAATTTTAACGCAAAATTAAATCTAATCAAATTATTTTTCAGTTTAACTTGCATCAAATCAGTCAATAGAATAATAATACTGCTTCTAAATCGCAAAAAGAAGAAAAAAACGTATATATGCATGCATAAAAAGAAACGTGATAATACAAGCAGAAAAAAAATCGTTTAACTAAATTTGGAATAAGTGGAGAATAAAAAGCAATTTTTGTGAGAATGAGCATGAATATGTGTTTGTGTGCGAGTAAATGAGCAATGTACGGCTAACAACAAAAAGCAAAGGAAGAAGTGCAAAAAAGTTGTGATTGTACTAGAAAGAAAAATCTACAGCATAAAAGAAATTCTAATTAAAAAAATAGATGAAGTCGTTTTGAGTTCAAAGAAAGCATAAAATTAATAGAAGTTAAAGTCACAAATATATATATATATATATATATATATATATATATATAGAAAAGCAAAAAAAAAGGAAAATTTTTAATAAAGTTAATTGAAAAAGAGCGCACAATAATAATTTCACTGGCAGAAAGTCGAAAATTTGTACAAAGAAGCAAAGTAAATTTCTTTGGTGTTATTTTATGGCCAAGGCTGGCCAGTCCGAGTGACCATCAGTACACGCCTAAAGCATATATTGTGTACATGTGTGCCGCTTTGGCTATTGTACTTCTTTTTTATTTAATTGACTTTTTTACCCATTTGAACGTTTGGCGTGTTTGATAATTTTCATCGGCCGCTTTGAAAGTTGATTGAAAATAGCAGTAGCAAAGGTAAAAAAAAAACAAAAAAAACTTGTTCTTCGAATTGAACAAATACTGAGCGCTGTCAATAGCACAAGGCGTTAACGCCAACGTTGTCCGTCACCTTCAACATTCGCAACGATCACACTTGAGAGAGCAGCAACAGCAATAGGAGAGCAAGAGTAACAACAATAATCAGTAATCAGACAACAAAACATAAACAACAACTTTTTTAAAAGGAAAAAAGAAAACAACGAAATCGCTACAACAGCAAAACAGTAGAAAATTACAGAAATGGATGAAGATGAAAACAATTTAGCCAATAGCGACATGAATAACGACGACGATGATGATGACACCGATGTTGATGATTTTGATGACGATCTACTCGCCGGAGTAGAAGTAGCTATGGCAGCGGCCACTGCCGCATCATTGGTTGAATCGGATGTGGAAATTATAACATCACCCTCGAACTTGTCCATTAGTTCAGCTACCGTAAATAATGTAATAAGCGCCACGGCCGGCGATGTGTCTGATATGAGGACGATTGGTAGCATCAGTGAGTCTGCGTCTAGTGAGCCGACTTCTAGGACAACAGTGGATTTACCTTCAAGCCTCCTAGAGTTGCGAGAACTTGAGCCAGTTACCAGTAGGGAGGGAAACGATAATGATGCATTAGCTAGTAGCTCTTCAATGGCTTCAACGTCAACTGGAATCAGTAGCTCTTTCGATTATACAAGTTTAACAAGTGCAGCAGGTGTTACAACAAGTAGTTCTAATATTTCCGTCGGATTAAATAACGCAAATACAAAATTAAATTTTTATCGTAACTTGTCCCGTTCGACCAAAACAACAGTTGATAGCAGCTCGGAAGCTGCTGTTGACGGTGCATCGTCTAGCTGCAGTGGCGGCGCTAAGCCTAGTTTTTGCTTCGGTACATCTTCGTCCAGTTTGCGGACCCGTAAAGAAGTTGCCGCTTTTATTAATGCAGAATGCTGTCGTGGTGGTCCCACGCCTGATCTAAATTCCATCATGGACACATTATTCAATCCCAGCACACTTATCGATAATCCCGATAATATCGAGTGGATACGTTGGCTAATTGCAGGAGGTCGCACACCACAAGAATTCGTCAAAATTGGTAAGCGTAATCGCTTTTCAAATGCAACAATCTCTTTATCGAAGTTTATCAATCGTTTTTTAATTGTTCTTGAAAAACGAATTTTATTAAAAGATCGTAACAGCATCCTAAAATCCATAAAAGCTTACTCGGCGATGTTTGACCTATGTTGTTATTCTTATACACATAAAATCGAGTTCCTTTTCTGATTCTTACAAACGTACAAATTGTATATAAAATCATGCTCGCGTATCCAAAGACCGAACGACTTCAACCATGTTTATATATAGTTTGCAAGTTTTTTTCTTCTTTTTTTTTTTTTTTTGTTTTTCTTTTGTTTGTTTTGTTCAAATTGCAGTGGAATGCATCAAAAACAGATATGGAACTTATACTAATGTCATTTTCAGTATTATGGTTCTGTTGGTATTACATTGGCATTTGGCCATCAGTTCAAGCCTTTAAATTCAGTAATGCCTAAAAGACGAGTAGATTTCAATTTCTACTGATTTAATTTTGTTTGAATTTCACTTTAATGTGACGTCAGCAAAATAAAATAAAAACAACAGTAACAATAACTGCACAATAAGCTAATTCAAGTCATTGCCCCCACAACAACACATTTGTACAGTTAATGAAATCATTTTACACAGATCAACAAAAAAATTACTAAAAAAAAAAAAAAAAGAAAAAAAAAGACGAATTGGGTTAACAAGCAATAAGGGAAGCTTATCAGAAAAGTTTGTATCAACGGATGTTAATATGTGCTTGTATATGTGTGCATCACGAAATATTTAAACGTTCAGAATAAAAGGTGATCGTTTTTACTGGTTTCTTCTTCTACTTCTCCTTCTTTTTTCATTTCAATATGCTCATGTATTTGTTTTCAAGTGAAATTGATCGATAGGTGTTAAAGGGCAAAAAACGAAAACAAAAAGGAAAAACCGCTGCATTCAATAACTGCATTTATTAATATTTAACTATGTATATTACAATTAATTTCGCTAATTAAAAGGAATGAGGGAACGATTTTATCCTTCATATTTGCGCACTGTCCGAACAATCGATATCCCCTTAAGCAATTTTCATTTCTTAAAAACCTCAAAGAACAAAATCATCGAAATTATCCATTAAGCCGTTTGACATGTATATTTGTGCACTTGTGTGCAATAAGAATAGCGATTGTTGTAACTGTTCGTTCGGAAACTACAACAAAATTGCATTAACTATGAGCGGAGATATAATGTAGATTGATTGAAATGATTATTATCCCCGACTAACTGTTATCTAAAAAATTTCACAGTTTCTTAAAGTTATCTTCTTCTGCACTTCTCATCCTCATAAGATTACTGCAATTTTTATAACTATTGTTGCGTTTTTCTCTAAAAATTTTAGACAAATTTTTGCTCTTCTCTTTTTGTTCTCATCGACACTGAAGCCACCGAAGGATGATGGGTATATTCATTTCATCGAAACGTTGGCAACGCCAAGAGGGAACCTTTTGAACATATTACATAGTATATATTTACTCAATTGGTATTAAATTCTGAATTGATTAAGCATGTCCGTCTGTTCATTTATGTAGTATCTGTTGTGAACATCCTTCTAGGCGTAAAAATGAAGCTATCGGTTTCAAATTTGGGAGCAGCATTGGAAATTTTTGCACGCAGATCGGTACTGGCAATAGGCCAAATCAGTCGAAGGAGAGGCCCACAATACGCCGAAAACTGAGAACAACTCTGCTTTGCAAAAGTAATAAAAAATTTGTATATTTTTATTATTTCTCATACTGCTGTAGCAGATAAATGTACAAAAATTTCAAAAGTATATTCTAAGGGCGATCCTCAATACCTTTTTAAGACGCAAAACTAAGTTTCAAAAAGCCCTTAAAATATATAAATTCTTGATCAGTTTCAAATTTGGTATCTACCTTAAGATGTCCGTTTGTTCGTCTGCCTGGCTCGGATGGAACTGCCCTTCTCGACTACTATTCATATATCGTCTTATCTTAAAAATAGTTATATGAATAATTGTAAAGTGATGTAGGGTATTTAAAGGTGGGCCGAGACTCAAGGTGATCTACTTACTTGCATTATATTAGAGAAAAGGACATTAAAAATGCCCTAACGTTTTCAAATATTCATTCTCATTCTCGTTCTTCGGAGACTCTGAGACTGAACGCGTTTCTGTTTGCATAATTGAGATTGAAACCCTTAAATTTAACAACACGGACATGTGGACGGACGGACAGACAATCACTATAATAAAAGCTGAGTATATTTTAAATCCTTCCGCATGCCATATGCGAACACGAGCCTATAAGAAAACACGTATGCTTCAAAATTTTAATCGCGTTTTTACCGAAACACAATTTTTCATAGCAGCATATACCATGACTGCGACTATTTTTATTGTTTCATTTGAATATTTTTATTCGTTAAACTAATATTAAAATAAGTAATGTAATAGTACTGAAATTTGGAGGTGATTTTCGATAAGTTCCTTTAAAAATTCTTTATTACTTTATATAATAATAGATTGTTCTTTTTTTTTTTTCTTTTCAATAATTAAACTTTTTCATTCATATATCGTGTCAATCGCGCAAAACTCAATACTCTTGAAACCCCAACATATTTCTTATATTTGGCACTGTAGGTGTTTAGGTTAAATTTTTTTTTTTTTTGGTAGTTCAAATTTGGATCAGTTACGTATCATAGAGATGTTACGCGAGAGTAATTACGTTGTTGACGGTTTTTTAATATTTTTCCAAAATAATTTATTTTTTCCTTCTTCAGTGTATGCGCGCTTAGTAAGTAACCTTTACGAATTTTATCATTCTATTAACTTTAGTTATGTCCTTAAAAAATTGTCAAATGTAATCGCTCTTTTTTCTTGGCCGCTGCTATGGAATTACCCCTTAAGGTTATTCAAAAATTGTAACGATGCAAGAAACGCTTGATCAAAGAAAATGAATGTTGCTTTTATAAATGATTAGTAATGGGAAAGGCGACGAGACATGAATTAATCAGTTAACTAGGTCGGTCGGCTTCTTTGGCGATGTACTCGCGTATTCGGCAAACACAGGGTATGTGTAATATGAAATTAGGTTGTAATGGAATGACTTGGTAAAATGATAAAAATGTTTTCTAAAATACATTATTATGGCAAATGCACATTCATAATGATAAAATTTTATGAAGAAATCCGGCAAGGACGGATGGACGAATCATGATGTTTGCATTTATAATATACGGTTAACTAGTTAAAGGTGCTTAGCGTTTTTGAAATGCTATTCTAAACACCTTAAAGGTAATAGGGTCTAATTTGATAAACCCAAGCGTAAAAAGAATGATTATTGTCCGTCCGTCCGATATTAACAACGAAACCGGATCTTCATACCTGTAAGGTAATGATAGTTAATATTAATGCAATGTAACGAAGGAGCGCTTTTAGGATCTATAGAATACGATCAAGGGCGAATGTTATCAACAGCAGCAGGAGTAATCCGCAAAGTGTGTACTACTCTACTACATATAAAGAAATATTTAAAAAAATTTTTGAAGATATGCACAATGCAATCAAAGTGCTAAGCCGATCAAAAGAACGCTTCAATCGCAAACTGTGCCAAATAAGTCAAATAAGTCATATTACGATACCCGTTTATCGTTTACTCCGTCTGAAGTTTAGCTTCAATTTTTAGAGATATGTTAGGTATTTTTTTTTTTTTTTTTTTTTGTTTTTAATCTGATAAGAAAGAACAGATAAAATTTGAAGATCTGATCTTCGATTTTAGCAATCGCTTAAGGATAATAAATTAAATGAATTCCACCACACTGCAGATAAAAAAGTTATGAAATTTGATGTTTAGTAAACATTAAGCAAATATAATAAATTATAAAAACTAAAGCAAACAAATTACTGGCAGAATAAATACTGTCCAGGCGCGAACTACACTACACACTTATTTTTCTTTCTTTTTATAACGGTATTCATAGAGCCCTTGTGGTACAGGATATATTAAGTTTGTGCGAATGTATGTAATACTCAGACGGGCTTAAGATAGGCCTACCTTTTATTATACCCGTCAATTCAGAATCATTTTCTATCGGTCCACTTTTTCGACCACTCCCCATACCGTTCGCCCTAATTGGAAAAATGTAATGTGAAGAATTTCTCGACAAAAGTTGCTGAGTAATAATAATAAAATAACGAGTAATAAAAAAATATTTAGACATTTCAAATTGGCGCGAACTATTTTTTTCGTCAGCAGCAATTTTTTGAACACCCCCTTTTTATACCTTTCATACCGAATCATTCTTATCAGAATTCTGAATCTTTGTAGGAGATGCATCTAATTTTCAATATTTAATGGTGTGAATTACTTCATAATAGTAAATTGACAAAGAAATCAATCTTACCGAATTTGAGGGACGTGGGTCTATTTTTTGGCTACCACCGCTTAGGATTAGGATTTTGAGAAAATGTAAACGCCTGTACGCCAAAAATGCCTAGTTGTTCATATTTTATGAAGAAGAAAGTTTGTTTATGACATAGAAATTAAGTGGGGGGTAAATTTGAACCACATGGGTCTATTTCTTAGGCACCACTCCATGTACGATTCCCCACAAAGATTTCATTTTCAAAAATTTATGTTTGAAATTGGTCCATCGTAGCAATTTAGCCAAAAAATTGTCGATAGGGAATGTGGATCAGGTGTAGGTCTATTTTTTAGATACCCACATATAAAAGGATTGTCGTGAAAAGCAAGGCCGCAGATGGAAAGTAAGTCTAGTTTTCCGTTTTTTATGATCACGCCATATGATGACGTATGTGTAATATTTGGTATATTATTACCAAAACGAGTGAATAACTGTGTTAGGTGGCGTATTGGCGTGGAGTATCTAATGATCGGCCTTGTTCGGCTTCCTTGTTTTCACATAAAACAATCCTGAAAATAAATGATTTTTTTCACATTTATGTTATTTTAAAATGCATTTTTACATTTATATATCAAATTTTAACAC